GCGCGGCGCGGCGCCTGGCCCCCGCCCCGGGGCGCAGCCCGGTCCCACCTGCCGCGCAGGACTTGGGCGCTCCTTGAGGACTTGGGTCGGCTGCTTTGCAGAACCCCCGCCAATGCGGATTTGCTAAAAGGGGATTCATTAAAGGCCATTTTCAGGGGGAAATAAAAGCACGTCTTCTATAAAATGAACACATGTTAAAAGAATTCATTTTGCTCATGTGAAATGAGAGAACCGGGCAAAATGTTTTAACCATTTCAAAGGAGAAGTTAAAGGGGCTCAAGCTTGCTTAGAGCACAGGAATGTCGACACGAGTTGCAAACGGGGACAAAACTGGGGGTTGAGCAGGGAGGACGAGCGCACATGCGCGCTCCTGGGACCTGCGCAGGCGCCGCTCCGTTTCCGTGGAGACGCGTCTCCCCCAGCCGCCCGGCTCAGAGCCTGCGGGCCCGGTGGGTGCCCCAGAGCCTGCGGGTGCTCCTTGGTCCTGCTGGCGGCCAGGGCGGCTCTCCTACCGCTTGTGTCCCCTTTGACCGGTTAAGATGGAGCCTCCCGGCGTCTCCATTGCGACCCCCCAGCCCTTTGTAATGGATGGATCATTTTGGGGGGTCACCGTGGAGAGCAGGAAATGGTACAGGTGGGGGCGTGTTTTCCCCGAGACCCGGCTCTTCAGCAGCACCGCACTCGGCTCTGTAACTGACGTGGACTGAATTTGTTCCAGTTTCACCCAGCAGGCTGTGACCTACCACTGTTACTATTTGTTTTGATGCGCAGTGTACCCCAGATCTGCCGTGGAGGCCTCGCCAAGCTGCCCCGTCCTGACCTCCTCCCGTGGTTCTGGGAGCAGTTACCTGAGCCTTCCCTTCACTTGCCGCAGCCCTGGGAGTCCTCCCGGAAAGCCCAGGTCGGGCTGTGGGCGGCCGTGCTCAGCCCCGGGGCCACCTGCCCCGTTCCCCCACCCCAGGGAAGGAGGAAGGAAGGAAGCCAATACACTTACAATTTTTTTTTTTTACCAAGGGCAGGTAAAGGAAGAGAGTAGGGAAAGGACGGTATCTTTATATACATTTTTAACCCCCAGTTTTATCAAAGACTAGATCTGATCTCATGGTCAGTTAGGTCTCTGAAGTTACATTTTATGTGGTCGCAAACATGAAATTTAACTCCTGAAGAGCTAAGTTTCCCATCAACCATTTACCGAGCACCTACCCTGCGAGCACCTGATGTTACCTTGTGGTGAGTTGGGGCAGAGCCCTGCCCTCGGGGAGCTCAAGGAAAGACAGATGCCCTAAGTCACACAGCTGATGTATCCTGAGCACGTGCAGACTTGGGTGGGCTCAGTCTGGTCACGGAAGGGAAATCAGAGGTCAGGGAACTTCCCAGCGGGTCTTAGAATCGGGACAGTTTGGGGTAGGACTTAGCGAGTTGGACAGGGAGGGGTAAGGTACGCAATACAGAGGGAAGGACACACTTAATGCAGAGATGCTTGGCTAACGTGGGGAAGCAAGCTGCTCAGTAAGGTCAGAAGCACTTGTTTCCTTATGGCCTTGCCCCGGGGCCTTCAGAATCATCATCGCCCTTTGCAGACGAGACTTGTCTGTCGCACCCTTTCTCGCAGGCCCCATCCCAGAGTTCCACCTGCTGTCCAGGACTGTTGCCATGTGTCACGATGCCATCCTACAGAATTCTTTCCTCTCCTGAAAGAGAAAGTGAAATCAGTGGGCATTTTACCCAAGAAAGATAGCCAACATCGTCTTCATTGTTGACAGTATACTTAAGAACAACTGGTCTAGGACTTTGAGGCTTCACCCTTTTCATTGAAAATGGACCCATTCTTACCTCTAGGGGTTTTCTGCCCTTGAACACACGTCGACTCCGAGTCATAAGTAAATGCAATAGGTTGGTTACAGTAGTTGAATCCTTGTTTTTTGGTGGTTCCTCATCGCTAGAGAACGATTTATTACTTTGAGTAATGTTTTGGAGTGAAGGAAGTTCCTTTACTCCATGGCGGTTAAGTCTTTTTTATATCTAATCCTGAGCTTTCTTCAAGATGTGTAATTTGTGTAAAAAAGTGTTGCTTTCATACATGCTCCTCACATGCTTATCCTTGAATTTTGCAGACGATACCAGAAGCTGCAGAAGATCATGAAGCCGTGGTAAGAATTTTTGATCTGTTGATACCGATTATATAACTCCCCTCTTCCCAGCATCTTTCGGCCCTGTCCTTTGATAACTGCGCTTGTGGGTGTTTTGACTTAGTGATCTTTTTTGCTGTTTGATGTTCTTATAAACAGGTTCTTATAAGCAGATTCTTTAGAAATGTATTTCCTTTTTCTTTCTGTTTTGCGGCACAAAGGGAGTTTTATGTTTGTAACCACGAAATGAGTGCATTGGGATGCTACCCTTCTGGAGCAAGGCGAGGCATCATTTTATGTATTGCGTTAAACAAAAACTTTCTTTTCTGTGGTCTATTGATGTTCAAAGTCAAAGCCTTTGATGTTCTTGAATGGCTCAGTAAAAACACTCAGGATTGAAGTGTAGACTGAAAGTTATTTGCTCTGAGTCTGAGAAAGTGCTCGGTCACCTGTCCTTAAGTGATGATTGTGTCCGGAGCTCTCAGAACCTCTGCCGCAGAGCTTTTCCTCCTCTGTGCCTTTCTTATCCATTAGATGAGTCGACATGCTCTAGCAAACTCTCTGTGGTGGGCTGGACACATTTCCATTTGGCCAAGTTGTTTAGCAGGTATTTCGGTTTGAGAAAGAAGACTGAACAGCACCCGAAAATGGGCACCTTGTTTTTTAAGCCCTGAGGGAAAATCCTGATCACCTGGGGTAGGATAGTGCTCTCAAATCACCCACCTTCCCCTGCCCCTCACACAGAGAAAGGTTAGTTGCAGGAACTCGTCGGTTATTAAATTGTCATAAAGCATAGAAAGCAGTCTTGAGTTTTTAGGATAAAGCTTCTTAAATCTTACTTTGATGTAGATTTTTAATATAGTAGAAGCACTTAACGGTAATGGTGGTAGAAGCCATCTGTTATGAGAGTTTACTCTGTCCCAGGCTTGGTTACCTGTTTACACTCATTACTCTAATTCACACTTGCATCCACCACACATGATTAGTAAAATCAGCATTATTTCCTTAATGCAAGAATTAAAATCCAGTGGTAGGACTGAGATTCAAACTGAGGTTTTTTTCTGACAACCTCATACAACTTGCTAATGGGGAGGAATTTGGGGCTCTGAAGCTAAAATGATGTCTTAATATATCTGCCGATAGTTTCACTCTGTGGGGTGTGGAGATGTTGGAAGTGTTACAAGGTGTGAACCATGATTTTTGTTTCCCAATCATAGACAAAATCGGTGCTCAGGGCCCTGGGTCTTGGAATGGCAGAGGAGCGTAATCAGACTAAGTTAGGAAGCTGTTATCACCCTGCTAGCAAAACCAGGCAAAGACAATATAGGAAATAAAAATGATAGGTCAGCAAATGAACAGAGGTACAACCTATTAACAAATAGAATCAAGCAATATATAGAAATAATAATATTTGTAGCCAATAAAGGTTTATCCCAGGAATGGTTTAATGTTTAAAAATCAGTCCTTGCGTATGACGCTGCATTTAGTAAAATAAAGGAAAAAAAATAATCTTAATAGATACAGAAAATAGAGCATAGATATAGAAAAGGCATTTAGTAAAATCCAACATTCACTCATAAAAATTCTCAGCAATCTAGGAATAGAGGGAACTTCCTCAACCTGATAAAGGCGATGGATAAAAACTGCATTATTCTTAAGGTGAGAAGACTGAATTTCCTCCCCCTAAAGAATGGCAATCAGGCAAATGTGTTTTTCACTTCTGTTCAACTTGGCTTTTTAACCATAGCAGTAAGTCAAGAAATAAATAAAAGACATAATAATCAGAAAGGAAGGAGTAAAACCAACTCTACTCATAGAAGATGTGATTCTTTATGTAAAAAATCCTAAGAAATCTACAAAGACATGGCTAGGTCTCATAATTGAATTTAGCAACATCAGTATTTAAAAGTGATGTATTTTTATGCATTAACAGCAAACAACTAGAAAATTAAATTTTAAAACTTTCTTTACAAAGTGTCAAAGATCATAAAATTCTTAGGAATAAATTTAACAAGAAACATGTACTATCTGTTCACTGAAAAATAAATACATTCCCAAAAGAAATTAAAAGAAGACCTAAATAAGTGAAGAATGTACCATTTTGTGGTTTAACAAGACACAATATTGTTAAGATAGCAATTTTCCCTAAATTAACCTATAGGTTCAATGCAATACAATTTTTAAAAAAGAAATTATAAGCCAGTCTTAAAAGTTAAGAGAAATGCTTAGGACCTAGAATAGCCACAACAGTGTTGAGAAAAGCAACACAAATATCAACCAAGTTGAAGAATTTCATTAACTGATTTCAAGACTTACTAAGAGCAAGAGTTATTAAGACAGTGTTATATTGTTATAAGGGGGAAGACAGGTCAATGGAATAGAGTCCAGAATTGATCCGCAGTTAAATTTTTAACAGCGGAACCAAAAGAATGTTTGCTGACACAGATCACGCTGCAATATGATCCTGAAGGCCAAAGCAGTGTCTAAAGGGTGCAGAAATCCATACATTTCAGCGTACATCAATTTTACCACAAACGGAAGAAACTACACTAAGTCCTCACTTAACGTCATTGATAGGTTCTTGGAACTGTGGCAAAATGTCGCAGAAAGACACCAGTTTTACCCGCAGGGTAATTGATATCAACAAAATTTACATTTCTACGGCATCTCATCAACATTATAACGAAATGACATTGAACCAAACCACGTTACTTAGGACGTGCTGTACGTGGGGAAGCTCAAAGGCCAGAACTGTGTTCATTGGCGTTGGCAGTTAAGGCTGCGTTCAGGATGATTTAGTGATGGCTTTAAAACCGGCCTTTATTTTCGCCTTCCCTCTACTTCTCTTGGCCACGGCACCCAGTGGGAACATTTGGAAGCACTGTTCCTTTATAAACTTAGCAGCATAAATTTAAATGCTATGCGATTGGCTGACATTTGTTGGAATGAAGACGTTCTCTACTGAGTTGATGAGAAACATTTATTCGAATTGCCCCAGCACACATGGTGTGTTGGCTGGGACGGTGACTCTCAACCAGCACAGAACGTTTGCAGTCCGTGTAATTTGTGGCAGTCAGCACTGCACAATCCTCAGGTTAGCACTTGATGCGAAATAAATAAGCCAAACAAAAATGCTCCCCATGTGCCATGCAGTTGCTTTATATATACATATGTTTTTAAGTGTTTATTAATTTTAGAGAGGGAGGAAGGGAGAGGGATGGAAACATCTGTGACATTGATCGGCCACCTCCTGCACGCACCCTACTCAGGATTGAACCCAAAACCTGGGAATGCGCCCTGACTGGGAATTGAACTGGTGTCCTCTTGGTTCATGGGTTGATGCTCAACTACTGAGCAACACTGGCCAGACTGCTTTATATTTGTAATTCTGGAACCTGGATCTTCTGCACCAGCCTTGATTTCAGAGCTGAGGCCTTGACTCCTACCTCCTCTTTGGAGCCTGAATCTCTCCTTGAGAAATGAAAGTAAACTCCTGCATCTGGCTTGATGAGAGCTTTATGGACGCCTCACTGGAAATGAAGCAATTGCGTCCACTGATTTGGAAGGCAGTAACATTTTTCATAGCCGTCCTTTCCTTGCAAATGAGGGTTTGAAGTTGAATTTTGAAAAAGTTCTCCCTCCTGGAAACCTAGGATGCATCCAGCAAGCAGTCATGATGAATTGCAGATGTTAACTATACAATATGTATAGTGTATTATGTAATGTGTGTATTATATAGGTATTATATATATTTAATAATATATGCAACACAACATATATAAACATATCTAATAACATTTATATATCATAACATATGTCTAAAACATCTCTATATAATTCATAATATGTTATGGTATAGTAAAATATGTATATCTAATAAAAGTGTTATCTAATAACATTTATATAAAATATGCATATATATAAGTCTATAATATTTCTATAAAATGCTATTAGATAGCTATTAGAGAGCAGTCCTTCCTTTGGGGGCTTTGGTGTATGACGGGAATTTTTCTCTCGCTTACCAGTCGTTCACACTGATGAATAATTAACACAGAGAGCCCTGTCCGCCACCTCAGGAATGGTGCTCTACCTCCTCAGCCACTGTGGAGACGGAGATCCCGGCCCAAAGCAACTTGGAGATCTGGAAGCCAAAGGACACTCTTTCCCATTCTCTCCATCTTTCTCCCGGGTCCTTATAGGAGGAGTCTGTAGGCAGGGTTCTGGAGCATTGGGGACGACGGACCGTTTCCAGATGTGACCACAGCCCCATGGATTGTGGGTTCATTGAGCAGGGGACAGGTCACGTTGCCTTCAGATAATCAGAGAGCATTCGTGTCCTTTATCCTTTGCTTCTAAAGCTGTTGGTGACGGCTATTCCACCTCTGCCCCCAGCTCAACCAGCTGCAGGGACTGTGAATACAAGTTTGATTCCAAAAGTGTGTGTGTTCCTTTGCCACTGACTGTCCCGTCACTTGTTCTGTTAGCAGTGACACTAAGGCCGCCTGGGGCCTGGTGTGGAGGCCACAGATGTGTCCCTCAGGGTGGACGTGGGAAACGCTGAGCTGCGGAGGCCTCTTAGCGTGCCAGTTGTGAGCAAGTGGCAACTGCTAGTAATATTGTTGCTGTTTCCCCTTTTTTAAGTTAAAAATTTAGGTAATATTGTTTACTACTGATGCTGTAAAATATAATAAATTGGGTAATAGCTTTGCTATGAATCCTATATTCTATTTGATAATGCTGTATCCACAGGAGTACTAACCCCTGCATAATCTATTAATAAATCTTACTAATTGCTTTATTTCCTGGCTCTTTTATTTACCCTCCCCTCTTTTTTCTGGCCTGATGTTTGGATTTTCTTGACTCATTGTCAGTAGAAAGAGTCATTCTGGAATTTTTATTTAACCTCTCTTGCTACTCTCTTCAATCTGTTCTTCCATCTTTCTACATTTTTGCTCTCTCCTAGGTACCTTTGTTTCCTGGTCTGGACTTTCTTTCCTGGGGCGCGGTCCTCTGATGCCACCTAGGGGCACCTGTAAGACTGGGATCGCCTGTCTGGCTCAGAAAAAAGCCTCTTTAAAAACCATTTGCTGCTTTTCTGTCTGGCCTGAATGGTTTGGCTTTCCTTACACTTTTATTTTTCTGGCTCCAAAGACAGATAATCTTGACACAATGAAGGCAAACACTTGAAAATCATGGGCTCCGTTTACCTTTTAAAACATCGCTTTTGCATAACGATCATAAGCTGACAGTCCAGTGCTGCTGCCACGTGCACCAGTGACTTCCCACCTAGAGCTGGAAGGGGACCCTCTGCTCTGGGAACCACCCACTTAGCCATTTCTGTCCATTGCGTCTCTTCCCCTCTGATTTCTGGCAGCTTTGGATCACAGTCCTTTCCCAGGAGCCACTTCCTCAATCGTAGGTTTCTTTCCAGCATCGAAGCTTCTGGGTGAAGCAGGATTCCCCAGGTCATTGCTGAGGCTAGGCTGAGAGCAGGAGGAAGAAGGGAAATTGTGAAGCTGTTTTAAAAGAAACACGAGCCTGTTTTGTATTCGATTAATTGAAAATCGATGGGAAGAGTCAATCTAAACATTTCATGAGACCTTGTAGTGTAGCAGTTGTGGTACATATGGGTCTACAGATTGAAATCTGAACAAGCAGCTTTATTTTTAAAAAATCAAGTATGTGAATCAGGGCAGTTGTAGACAGTATAGAAATCCTGATGTGCATAATTCAATGAACTTGGAGAGTTATGTATCTTGAGAGTTTCAAGTTAATGTTTATTTCATTATGATGAAAATTTACAATAGAAGTGCGTTTCTGTAAGAGAGTCAGGTTGTCTGTTAAAGTTGTTTTGAAGGCACCAGAAATCAGGATATAGTCTGATAAGGGGCAAAACTGCCATTTCCCAAGCTGCTAGGTCTCTGATTGCATTTCTAATGCACACTTCAGACCCTTCCCGCAGCCCAGCCCTCAAATCACAGCAAACCCAGTGCCAGCCAGCAGCCATCAACTCCACACATACTGTACAAAGATAAACTGACCAGTGCAACATAGAGATGAACACGCTTACTTACATGCATGTTTGTATCCATGAGCTTGTGTGTCTGTGTGTGTGCACTTTCCCGGACACACACACACACACAGGTGCATGGAGACTGCATCCATCCTTTGCAAAGTGCTAGTACTCCTGAGGGGATGGTTTCTTATCTCCCCTGTTGATAGCCACAGGCAGAACTAGAAGCACGTTGCCCTTTCTCAGTCCCCCTGACTTTCACTGGCTGAGAAGCTTTCCTCGAAGCTCCCATTTACCTAATGCTTCCACCCTCCTCACTTCATGCAGTGCCGTACACGCAGGCCTGTGGGGAGCTAGACACGGCCGTCCAGTGCTCTGCTGGGCGACCAGGCTCAGAGGTGCGTGGACTCCCGGTGCAGCACACTCACCAGGGCGAGAGTTACTGTGAGCCGGGGTCAGTCCCACCGAGGCCCGGCTCACCGCTGGGAATCCTGAGAAGCGCACCTGCCTCCTCTCCATGGACACAGGTTTGCACAGCATCTGTGGCCCAGCTGCTGACCCCAGCGATCTTTACGATTCTGCTTGTGTTCAGTTTCCTAAGGCTTTGTCACTTCTGTGCCTCTCACGCTCAGCTCCTGGCCATGACTACTGTGCCTCCCTGTGTTTTCCAGCTTTGGAGACATGCTGTCCTTCACCCTGACGGCCTTCGTTGAGCTAATGGACCATGGGATCGTGTCCTGGGATACATTCTCGGTGGCATTCATCAAGAAGGTAACGCAAACTATGCCTTCCCAGGCTTGAATTCCTCCCTCCCTCCCCCGCTTCCTTCCTGGACATTTTTCTCAGCTTTGAGGGTATCTAGTGGTTGTTTCCTTTAGCTCTTTGTGAAAAGGTGGGTGGGGATTTTGATAGTGTTCTATATATAGGGGTCAGGGCACCTAAGTTATATGTGGAAATGACATTTTCTCCCCATGGAGGTCTTGTGATTGCCCCTGTTCCAGCACCTGTCTCATTTCTGTGACTTTTTGGTTCATTTGTCTGGCTCTCCCAATAGACCATGAGTCCTAGGAAGGTGGAACCAGAGCTTTCTCCCTGACTTTGTCCTCAGAGCCTGGCACAGACCTTAGTCCATTTCTGTGAATGAATGAAATTCGCTTCAGAAGCATTTTTTAAACCCTAGAACTTGAAGGAGAGGAGTGTGGTGGCCTTGTATTTAAATGTATGTCAAACCCGACTGGGCATGGCTCAGCGGTTGAGCATCGATCTGGGATTCAGGAGATTGCAGTTCGATTCCCAATCGGGGCATGTGCCCCGGTTGTGGGCTTCATCCCCAGTCAGGGGTGTGCAGGAGGCAGCTGATCAATGATTCATCATTGATGTTTCTCTCTCTCTCTCTCTCTCTCTCTCCCTTCCTCTCTCTGAAGTCAATAAAGGAATATTTTTAAAATGCACGTCAAGTAAAATTTCGGTTATGAGTGGAAAGGAATGACAGAGCTGTCTTTCTTTAAATGGTGTGAGTTGGGGTTAGAGGGAATGGCGATCATTTAATTTGTTAACTGCCTAAGAAAATGGTGTCCATTCACTGAAATTAAATGAAAAGCCATCTTAAATCTAAGGATTACTATTTAATAAAAAATTAAATATTTTTCAGAAGGCAGGACATTTAACACACCCCATGTCCTTACTCCCAGCCATTTTATTTCCTTTGGGTCACTCCTTAGATCTTAACCTTAATTGAATTTAAGAAATGGCCATCAGAAAATGACCTCGGAATTGATAGTTCTTGTAAGGTTAACTTTTTATTCGTCAGCTGGGTCAGCGCAGCACTCTGACAACCAGGGATTGTGTGCAGACAACTGTCTTTTGAATGGAGCTTTATCTCGATGAAAATCTGCTGACAGAAGATGCTTATCTCTGAGAACAGCCTTGGCTTCCTATTAATGCCAAATTCATACCACTTTGGAGAAGTGTTTTGTTTTTCCCTTGCCAGCCCACCTCCTCTACTACTTCATCTGCTTATGTGTGGACTTAGATTCCAGTTACAAACTTTGTTTGCAGTAAACAACATAATTTCATAAAAAATTTGAAACTTGGAATTTTGGTATTTCTTTACGCCAATATATAATGTTGTTGCTTTCTTAAAAGATTTTTTAAATGGATTTTTAGAGAGAGAGGAAGGGAGAAAGAGAAAGAGAAACATCGATTTGAGAGTGAGACATCAATTGGCTGCCCCCTGCACGCCCCCTACCAGGGATTGAGCCCACAACCTGGGCATGTGCCCTGACTGGGGATCGAATCGGCAGCCTTCCATTGCATGAGAGGACTCCCAACCGAGCCACACGGCCAGGGCAATGTTGCTTTTTAAAGATCTGGCTACTTAAGGAGAGGGTCAGAAGACATGGAGAAAAAAGAAATGAAAAAAAACAAAACAAAAAACACCAAAAAACCCCCCAGAACTATTCTGAGTTACCAGTTGGTTCTCGCCAAGGATAACACCAGGGCTTTTTCTTGGCAGGAGAGTTTCACACAAACTGGAACCTGAGCTCTGCAGGAGGGCCCGGTCCACCCACGGTGCTTCCAGTGCCTGGACAGGCACCCAGCCGTGTCAGTTTAGACACCCAGTAATTTTTGCCTCTTAAAAACTTGTGAGATTTATGGACGTCTGCCTGGATGCATTAAAACAGGAGTGGAGCTCCAGGCTCTGCATGGTTCATTTCGGTTTTGATGACATAGAAGAATTTAAGATCTCATTCTAAGTGATTCTCAGAAGGGTTTATGTGATTTTAGTGGTTTGTATCATTGATTCATGCACTGTGATGACAATGAGACTGGTTTTCACCCTACTTAATTTTAGTATTTGTCGGAACATCTAAATGGAGGGGCTCTTCTGGATGCCAGGAATAAACATACACACTTAACATACTTCACGGTAAATGCCTTTTTATCCATCTGTCTCTGCTAGACTGTAAGGCCCTTGAGGGTAAGGCTGGGTTCGCTCATCACCCTCTTTCTGGGTCTCAGGACGGCACAACCCTGTGCCGTGGTGCAGAGTGAATGCGTGTGGCCTGAATGAATGAGCAGAGAGGATGGGGGCTGGTGGCGGGGAGGGAGTTGGCCAGTCAGCTCTCAGGTGGGAAGCTCCCCAAGGAGCCTTAAAGACGCCTGCAGATTATGACATGGAGACAAGAAAAGGAGAGGGGAAGGAGGAGGGAATGAGAACATTATAAGTATGGGCAGCACACTCCTTTGGGGACTCTTCTGTTTTTTAGCGAGTGCCCGACACTTGTGCTGGGGTCATGAGGAAGGGTCGGGATGGTGTTGATGGCAGAGTGACACAGGATTTAGGTCTAAGTGGAGTGTTAAACCGTGAGCGCAGCAGGGGAAAGATGGCCTTAGAGAAGGAAGGGCAGACCAAATGGATCAGACTATGAGGATTGAGACTTGGGCCCTCCAGGGCCAGTAAACACACTGGAGAAGTTTATTAGCCTTGAAATGGGCTAAAGCAGCCAGATGATTGGCCGGTGGAATTCTTCCGAGAATCTTAAATTTCTCATACTCTTCCTGTAGTTTATATTATAAAATACTAGTGTGTGGAATGTAAAGCTGTAACGTTACTGTGCTTCATGTTATTTCCCGCCCTCTGAGACCCAGCTGTATCTGGGGGAGAGGGGGTGCTGGTGCCGGTACCCTCACCCCCGCCCTTATCAGGGAGTCACCAGGCTGAGACAGTTGATATGGTAACAGCATGTTGCCGTGGCCGCCTTAGCCTCTTACTTGTACAAGGACGGAGGGGGCTGAGGAGTGGTCGATGGGACAGCATAAAGGGAGAAGTCAGTGTCCACAGAGGGAAGCAGCAAGTGGCCGTGTGGCACGGAACCAAATTACTCACCTTTTAAGAAAGCAGTCGTTACGTTAATATAATAACAGCCTTTCTGTGTGAGTTGTCAACAGTAATAACTTTTAATGAGGCCTCTAAAATAAAAGCTTTATAGTCCCCACGTGTTTGGGTTACTGTGCCCATTATTCGAACCCTCACTTTGCTTCTCTCTCACATTGTGATTTATGTTTGATGCCTCAGTGATTGATTCCTTAGGGAGTAAATTTCAGAGCTTAAACTATTATTTTAACTTTTCGCACTGCTAATTTAAAGGTTTTCCTGTTTGCTGAATTTTGGAGAGATGAGAGGAGTTTATTTTAACCACATAAAATGAAGGAGTGGGGGAAAGCATGTTCCATGGGGGAATCAGTGACGGAGAAGTTGCCAGTTAAATCGTGCCGACAGTGTGATTTGTGTGAGTCCCTTAAGACTATAATGGGATCGTAACAAGGACGTAGAGGCCCCAGGTTCCATGGGTGGTGGAGGAGCCTGGGAATGGAAAGAAATGGCTATTAGTCTGTGTTGAAATTACTGTCTCAAAGAAACACAGGAGCCCTTACACTGCATAGTTGGCCCTCCGTACCTGTGGGTTTCACATTCAAGGGTTCAACCAACCATAGATAGAAAATATTCTGAAGGGAAAAATTTCTAGAAAGTTCCAAAAAGCAAAACTTGAGTTTGGCAGGCACCAAGCATTATGCTGAATGCACTTAAATGCAGGGATATGTAGGCACACCCTGCTGTGGCTTATGTGCAAATATACGTTATATCCAAATACTATCCATTTTCTATAAAGGCCCAAAGCATCTGTGGATTTTATCTGAGGGGCCCTGGAACCAATGCCCCACGGATACTGAGGGACGGCTGCATGTGTTGAAATCGTCTGCTCCAGAAAACCAAAACTCAATAATCCTGGAAAACCCAGGCCGAATAATTCTCTGAAGCTGTCCCCTTTTAAAAGCTGCGTATTATTGAACTGCAGAAATCGGACATAAGTGGTGCTTTGCGGTAACGTTAGAAGAATCTCTGTTGACTCCATGCTTCCCTTGCCATCCTGCTGCCCCTGCAGTGTCTGGCGCTTCTTAACCGAGCTCCCGGTTTACTTGACTTGCTCCCTTCTGCGCTGTTCCGCCCTGCTCACCACGCACAGTCAGTTGTGTCCCGCTTGGGTTTTCAGATAGCAAGTTTCGTGAACAAGTCAGGCATGGACGCCTCGATTCTGCAGCGGTCCTTGGCCATTCTGGAGTCAATGGTGCTCAACAGCCACGACCTCTACCAGAAGGTGGCACAAGAGATCACCATCGGCCAGCTCATCCCACATCTTCAAGGGTAAGTAAGCCAGCCGAGGCCTCTACTGTGGGGAGGGGAGATGCTTCACCCACCATAACCCCCTAGGAAACGTTTTGTATTGAGTTGATTAGAATACAGAAAAGGAATCTAGATTTGGTGTTTCATCCACCGTGCACCACACTCATCATGTCACACGGAAATGGCACAGTTACTTGCCCCTTGGTGAGTTCCATGCCTGTTCTTGGCCCAGTTCTGCCCTCAGAGCCTGGCCCTGAGCAGCCACTAAATTTTGATCAGTGTTGGTAGATATCCATAGAGTTTTACTTTTAGCAGGACATAACAGGACAATTTGTTCTCTTAAGTTCTCAACAGAGTCTCTCCTTAGTCATTTAAAACAGTGTTTTCTGTCACACAGCGAGCATATTCAGTCAGCTAAGAATTTTTAAAGGCAGGTTTCCCTCTTGAGGCTTAAGGTTATTGCAGCGACCTTCTTTTGTATGTTATCACATCTGTATTTTTTTCTAGATGCTTTTCTACAAGATGTGGCCCTAGCAGCCTGCTGCCCTTGGGGCTTTCCCCCTTCCCTCTCCCCTCGGGTAACTAGTAAGACTGTCTCTGGTGATACCGGACTGGGAAGGACCCCACTGTACAATGCTGCGTAAATTACAGTGTTTGGGGTTGCAGGTGGCAACAACCACCCTGAGCTTACACAGAACAGAGAATTTAATGAGAGGAGGCTGGATGCTTTTGGAACCCAAGAATAACTTAAGTAGCTAAGCTGTGGGCAGGACACAGGCTGTGGCCTCTGTGGACTCCTCACAACAGGCCTTTTCTCTAGCATTTCTGCTGGCCCGAGTGTGACCAGGTTCCCACTAACTGCCGTCCCTGGTCTCAAGAGGAAACCCAGCTACCCGTTTAGGTGGGGGTGCAGGGTAGAGAGTCAGTAGTTCTCAGTATACCAAAATGTTAGCTGTCATGTTATAATACAAACCACCAAAATGCGTTTGATGTTTTTCTCATTTGGAGAGAGGATGGTCACACCAGCTATAGATTGCGGCCTTGGGGAAAATGAACACAGGCTCTAAAATGACGATTTGCGTGAAACCTCTCTAGAAATAATAGCGGTTTCACAGTTCCCTGATTGTGAAATGTATTCTCTTTATGACCTGTGTCTTTCCTGACCCTCGAGGGCATTCCTGTGCACTCACGTGCACTTTGCCAGAATGGAGAGTTTCTTGTTCGCCGAGTGCTGTGCTAAGGATTTTATGTGCATAACCTCATTTTATTCTAAAAACAACCTCTCGAAATAAGTGTGTTCCTACCCAGTGTTTAAGGTGAGGAAACCGTGTCTTAGGGACACCCCACAAACTTGTCCTAGGCCACTCAGACTAGCCTGGGGTGCACTGGGTGCCGCCTCTCCCCAAATCGTCTGGCTTGTAGCTCCTGGCTGCGCTTTGTCATGCCTGGGTCCTCCTTACCTGTTTACTCTTCACCGCGTGGCTTCCCTTAGATCTTCCCTCCATTTGGAATTTCTGATTTCATTCAGTGAAAAGCAAATTTGTGAACATAAAAACCTGAGTTTGTCATTAAGAAATTTTCATTTTGGAAATAGATGTTTAGAATGTGTAATATCATTGCCATGGAGACAAAGCAGTTTCCTTCATGATAAGCCCAGGACTTGGGGACAGCCAAGCGTACTCCCATATGCTCCATGCATCAGAGCGAGCAGACAGAACATTACACCCACTCACGTGCGCGCGCACACACACACACACACACACACACACTGTCCACTGAGTTTGTGCTATGAATCCTAGCAGAGGAGAAGGGAGAGAGCCAGCTGGCCACCTGTCCTTTCTGGGTGATCTCCACCCAGCAGTGTGTTGTCTGATTGTCTGACTAGCTGTAGTAATTTCCCCCACCCCCCCACCATATTCCAGCCTGGTGATGGTTGAAATGTATTCTCAGTATCAACTGTGTTTTCTAGGTCCTGCCTTTTTCTCTCTCTCCTTTGGGGGGAGGTGATCATGAACTTGATCGTGGTCTGACTCAGGGACAGCTTCTCCTGACTGCCTCTATTGTTCTGCATCTCACAGGACAGATCAGGAAATCCAAACTTACACCATCGCAGTGATCAACGCCCTCTTCCTGAAGGCTCCCGATGAGAGGAGGCAGGTGAGCTGCATCACTTTTGTGTGAAGACCATGCCCAAGAATGGCAACTGTTGGTGCAGAGAGAGCCCCCTCCTGCCCATGCCAGGGACTTTCTGGGCCTCCCAGCTCTGGGGATTGACTGGCCAGCCTGGGGTCATTCCCAGGCCCAGGGGGGAAGCAGGTGGAGATGGGCAAGCCTTTGTCCGAGGGAAGACGCTAGGAACGGTCTAGCAGTAGAGCCCTCTCATCAAACAAAACCAATTTAGAAGCTCCAAAACATAAATCTGTGGCAACTCTGCAGCTCAGGTGGAAGCAGAGGTAGAAGCCCTGTGATCTTGTCATTTCCTTGAATGCTCACTGGGACAAGGAAGGTGTTGTCCCCACTATTCTGGTGAGGAAACTGAAGCCCTGAGAGGTGTCAGCTTTGCCCCAGGGCGTGCAGGGTGGAAAGGTTGGAGGACTGGAGGCAGAACATACAGGTAGCTACCACCAGTCGAAATAACCATTCACGCATCCAAGGGGCTCTCTGCTCGATGATATTTCTACTGTATGTGTGTGGATGTGGCGGGGAGGGCCCAGCGATTCATTCCCCCTCCTCTGTGAACCTGTCCGTATGAAACCTACCCTCTGAGACTCTCCTTGTCTGTAGATCTTTGTATTTTCTTCAACTAAGGAAAGAATCGTTATAGAGGGAGGTGTGGAGGAAGTTGAAATTTTTGTCTTGAAATTTAGCTCACACCTGACAATCCATTCATATTTTTCACAGCTATATAACACACTGTGTTACCTCGGTCACAATTCACTCCATGTAAACGCTGGGTGGAAACATGAGACCTTTCAGTGGTTAGAAGGTGCTCTTGGGAACTCGAGGACAGTTACCAAACATTTGTTTTAGGTGAACTGAGAAAGCTAGCATGCTGATGACCACTGTGTCAAGAATTTTATTGTTTTCATTTTATTTTTTTCACTGTCAAGGTTTTTAAACCTCAGTGATTAAATATAAGGGTTTCTGGTTTGTTTTCCATTTAGGATTGTTTGCTCATTGGGAAGGAGGCTACATTTGCACAGTGAGGGGAATGACTGCAGAGTTTCCTGTGCATTTGGTTGGGTGCTGGCTGGACCCAGGAGGAGCCTGCCCGCACTCTGGGCTGGATTTTTAATGGGGTGGTTTTGCAGATCATTGGTGGGGCTGCTGCTTTATAATTATATCTAAATGCCGAGCTCATGATAATACCTTGCAGCCCAGCTAATCACTGAGCAGCTCTCACATACTCAGAGGCCTTGATGTGGTCATTGGGCCTTTTGGTTTTCATCTGGTCTAAGAAGAAAAAAAAATAGACCTTTCTATTTTAATCAGGAAGAAAGCGCCATTTTCTGCGCACGAGGAAGGGCAGGTTCCTCTGGATTGCCGTTCACCCCTTTCTGAGTGTGTCCTTGTTTTCTTGTTCTCAAGACGTTGGGAGAGAACCTAGTATTAGGATGTGACTTTAATGCCATCCAGCCTTTGGAAACCCTCACAGTATATATATCATTCTCGTCAGCACAGTGGGTCAGCAGGGGGCGCTAGCAAAGCTTAACCTCTAACAGAGTGCTCTGAATTTCCACCCTCTTCTCTCCCGCTTGCTCTCCTTTCTGTGGTGGCACTGGCGCTGTTAGGTTGGTGTAGACAGCAGTGTTGACATCCTTGATTGTCCTCTGACTGTAAGTCCTCACGTTCTCTTCGTTGTTGGCGCTAAGCGAGCCCCGAGCCTTCTTTCTGCTCCTGCCCACCCTGCCTGTGCCCCCTCGTCCTTCCTCCCCATCATAGTTGAGTTTCTTCTCTACTCAGTTACTCAGTAAGAGTAGCAACACTAAAAATGCACCCCCCCAAAAAAAACCCCACATTCCAGTGTCTTCCTGAATATGAGCAGTATTTTTATTTTTGAATGTTTGCAACAAGATTTCATCCAACTGTATAATTTCCCCTTCGTAGCCATTTGTCAATATTTAGAAAGGGCATCTGGGAATCATTTCATTTCATAAATGCCATCCAGCAGTCCTGTGTGCCAGTCGGGCAGCCAAAGCCCCAAGCAGGACTTGCAGAGCAGGAGTGGCTGTGCTGCGCGTGAGCTCTGCAGCTCGGCATTTGCCCAGATGTTCGTCCTTTGCTGGAACCCCAGCCACTCGGTTCACTCACATAAACTACTTCCGAGTCCTGGGGCGTGTACTCGTTGCTCTTTGGTTTTGCACAGATTGAGATGAAATTGAAAAGACTTAGATCTTTAAAGTGATGCCCCTCCACTGTTGATTCTCACGGTGCAGGCACATGCTGCCTCGTCCAAGTGCTCTGCGCGTAAATAGTCCAATAGGCGTGATGAGCCTTTCCAGTGAGGACCATTGCTTTCATTTTCAGGGCTTGGATACTTTGTATCCATCATTCAAAAAGACTGCAAGTGCCAGAATTTCTTTCTTTGCTTTTGGACATGACTTTGTTTTCTAAATAGAACATTCAAAAAATAATCTGAATACCACTGCCTCTTGGAGCCCATTCTTTCACGAGAAATACTGCTGGTATCCAGTTGGGAAGCACCCCCCAGGATCAAGTTATTCTGGACGGGGTTGAAAAGGATCTTTCTAACCTCAGCTTTGGTGGGGGGGCATGTTTTCCTTCGACAGGAGATGGCGAACATTCTGGCTCAGAAGCAGCTGCGCTCCATCATCCTAACGGTGAGTCCTTGTGGGCGGTGTCCAGGTCCACTTGGCTAGGGAGGAGGGCTGGCGTGTTTGTGTATCTCCTGGTCTGGCTCGAGTCTGCGGTTTGTCCTGTGACTTGCTTCTGCAGTGGAGCAGTAGGAACTAGGACGCAAGGGACAATGCGATTTTGGAAGTGGAATAAACAAAGCTTTCCCACAGGAATGCCTCCCCGACTGGAGGGCGGGGTCTCTGTAACGCTCTAGAGAGGAAGGCCTCTGGCAGGAGGGGCTGGGAGCCTCTCTGTGGGGCAGAGTTTTTTTATAACCCCCAGGGCTTTAGCTTTGCCGAAACTTAGCTTTAAGGAAATTGGGGGCTCTGTGATTTCAAAACTCCATGAGTTTGAGCTTATGCTGTGTTTAACGAGGGAGCTAGCCGGGAACATATCAGACCCTGGGAGATGTCCTGAAATTTTATCATCATTTTCCTGGGCTCCTTTGCCAGAGAAAGGCAGGAAAGACACACAGGGAAGCTACTCAACGCAAACATGACCAGAAACCTCAGTGGGAAAGTGGGCCTATGTGTTAGGGTGTGAGTGTGTGAAAATAAATCAAACAGCAAGATTTCCCCGGGCCTTATTTGCTACTGGACTTTCAACTAAAGTTCGAAAGAAGGGCGTGTGAGTGATTCCAAAGAGGAGTTCTGTTAGCTTGTGAGTGTGGATACACACACACACTCACACACACATGCACACAGACACGCACAAACATGCACTCACACACGCACACTCAGGCACATAGATGCACACGCACATACACACTCGCACACAGACACGCACGCGCACATACATGCACACACGTGCTTTGTCTTTTATTTTCAGTTACAGTTTATATTCACTGTTTCCTTGTATTAGTCTCAGGTGTACAGCGTAGAGGTTAGACGGTCACATACTTTACAAAGTGATCCCCCCGATATTTCCAGTGCCCACCTGGCACCCTACACGGTTATTACAGCATTACTGACGGTATCCCCTGTGCTGTACTTACATCCCCATGACTGTTCTGTAACTGCCAAGCTGTACTTCTTAATCCCTTCACCTTTTTCACCCGGCCCCCCAATGCCCCTCCCCTCTGGCAACCATCAGTCTGCTCTCTGTATCTATGAGTCTGTTTCTGTTTTGTTTGTTAGTTTATTTAGTTTTTAGGTTCCACACATAAGTGAAATCATATGGTATTTGTCTTTGTCTGACTTATTTCACTCAGCACAATACCCTCTAGGCCCATCCACGCTGTCACAAATGGTAAGATTAGGCCACCTTATAATTATACCATATACAGAATAATATAAAAATGGATTAAAGACTTAAACGTCAACACCCATAAACTTTGGGTACTGAGTGTATAGGATGAATGAACATTCTGTTCCGGAGATGAAAGGATATGGGGCTTCATTCCACCCTCCCAGCCTTCCCCTTGCTCCCACCCCTCAGCCTCCCTAAGCTTGGGCCCGGGACTCCCCCTGGTCCTCTCTCTTCTCTCCCACCTCCTTCAATGGGCTGTTGGGACACGTGCTCACAGCCAGGGTGGGGTTCAGGTTGGGCGCTCCTAGGGAAAGTCCTTCCAGACAGCAGGACGTGGTTGGTCTAGCATATTCAAAATAACGGACTTGAATGGTTGTTTCCCCACTTTGACCTGTCGTGTTGAAGGCACAGCCGTGGACTCTGCCAGAGAGGATGTCTGTTAGTCCGAAGTGTTGAGTCCCATTTCAGACCCAGTGCTGCGGGGAGAGGGAGGAGAGGCCCACCCATCTTGTCTCCTGCCGTTGCTTTTATGTGTGTTCCCTTTTGTTCTGTTTCTAAGAGGAGTGTCATTTTACTTCTCATTTAGTCCTTAATAGGAGAGTGAAGTAATGCGCATGAATTCTCTCACTGCACTGGGGTGGTGGTGGGTGGTCTCCTTAGTGAACTAACCACACATCTCATAGGGACTTCACTTGTGTGTGTTGCTTCTGAAATGTTTCCTCATTTAGCAGTGGGATCACCTGTCAGAGACAGCTGTAGGGAGAGATGGTGGCAAACATCTTCCCCGTCTATCCCTACATGTGTGCGAGGCAATCCACAGTTCCCTTCAAGATCCACTCATTTCAGGCACGCCTTCCTTGGTTTATAGTGCCAGAGTCCCCCGTGCATTTCAAGTGCCCCCATCTCTTCCCCCTGCACACAGGAGGACTTTTCCTGGTTTCTGGCCTAAAGATCTAGGAGCCTTATTGGGCCCTGGACTGTAAAGGCAAGCTCCAAGGTCACCTGTGTCTCACCTTTCTTCTGAATCATAATCCCCACCTACATCCCCCAGGCCTCCAAATGAAGACTGAGGTACTGCTTGGCATCACGATGGGGGTTAGCTTGTGTTGTTTGCCTTTTCTTTCTTCCATTTTTTTAAATTTAAATTTAAATTTGTGAACCACCTCCCCAGCACGTCATCCGAGCTCAGCGGGCCATCAACAATGAAATGGCACATCAGCTGTATGTGCTCCAGGTGCTGACCTTCAACCTGCTGGAGGACAGAATGATGACCAAGATGGACCCCCAGGACCAGGTGAGCGCTCGCTGCGCAGCAGGACGGGCACAGCGAGAATGCGTCACCCAGGCTCTCCTCTTGGGCTGCTCCGAAACCAGACTTCACATGACCATAGGATTGATCTGTGCAATCTCAGAACTGGGGGAATGGATTTAAACTGTAGGTGAACCTAGGATCAGAAAATAGATTGCATCATTTCCTTACACATCAAACTCCTGCATATGCTTTCTTTATTGGATAAGAAAGCTTGACATCACATAGCCGTGGCCCTTGCCCTTGGCCCCTTTGCCCTCAATGGTAATGGCTTTGGTCAAGTTACCAGACAACAGGGCCACGTGGCAGCTCTGTGTGATGTGATTCTGCAGGTTGAGGATATGATTTCCACTCTCCAGCAGTCAGTCCGGAGGTGATGGGCCCAGGTCACACCTGGTTTCTGGGCTTGCATTGGTGGTAGTTGGCTACTTGCTGTAGTTCTCTCTAGGGCTCTCGCTGTGCACAGAAGGTTACGTCTCCATCCAGAAGGCTCTGGGGAATTTCAGTGAGTGAGGCAGCTGGAAGCCCTGCCCCTGCACATTTTCAGCTTAAACAGCGCTGCAGCTTTGGAATGGAAAACACTCCTCGCTGGCACGTGAGGGCTTGATGGATCGCAGATGTGCCCGGCACAAGTGAAGTGTGTGACCGCTGCCGCGCTTCCTCCATGGCGCAAGGCCATGTGATTGGGAGTGATGGAGAGGCTTGGAGAGGCCCCTGGCCAGGCTGAGTGCTGTCATCTCAAAGAGATGAGACCATCACTTACCTCTTCTAGTGAAGGGAGGCAATGCCTCTGAATGGGAACAGCCCTGCCTGTTTATAAACCAGTCCTTTTATTTATTTAAAGTATCTTTTTTTATTATGGTAAAATCTACATAAAACCTACCACTTTAACCATTTTTCAGGCTTGTTTCTGCGAAGGCTCTTCTCAGTAGTTAGGGGTCCCTCGTCATCTGAATACTGTTCATGAACACTGCCTGCCTCTTCTCTGTGTTTCTAACAGTGAGTTACCCCCAAGTTCTCGAGCTTGGCTTTCTCCGGTCCCAAGCCTCCCATCACAGTGGGGCTCCTTTAAGAACTCCAGACAGTTGATACAAGTATTCCAAATGGCTTGGCCAGGATGACTGTAGAACAATCCAGGGCTGACCAGCAGAGCGAGCGGCAGGGCGAGAAGGAGTGTGCAGAGCCCAGCATACACACTGGACGTCTTCTGTTTTTTTTCTTTTCTCCTGAATGCAGTGATTCATGTCAGCCCCCATGGGAACGGGGTGTACGTAATGCTGCACACTGAACACAGCTCTCCTCTCCTTTCCTCCCTCACGCCCGCAGGCTCAGAGGGACATCATATTTGAGCTTCGAAGAATTGCTTTCGATGCGGAGTCTGAACCCAACGCCAGCAGCGGCAGCATGGAGAAGCGCAAGTCCATGTACACCCGGGATTATAAGAAGCTTGGCTTCATTGTAAGTATGCCGAGCCCACTCAGGGCCCTCCTTCCTCCCAGCGCCCGGGGGCTGACCTCGGCTGCCTGCGTAGCTGATGTCCCTCCTCCGAGCGTGTGGTCCGCTTGCGCCTCGAAGAACTGTTTCACATTTTCCAGATGTTTAGCTGGTTTAAGCGGGATCACATGAAAATCCCTTCTGGCTGCAGCCAAGTGGAATAACTTGCACAAGTGTGACTAATACCGCGTTTGTTTACTCAGCCCCGATTGAGTGTAACCAAGAGTAGTGAGCCTGGAGGCATCCAGATTTCATTCAATCTCCACGAGATGCTTAGGGTCCTATTTTGAATGAAGTGGGTGCTGGCAAGAGGGGGTGAAAATGATCACTGGGTTAGAGGTTGGATTACTTACATCTATTTCATATCAACATCGAATTGAGAGTGTCCTGGAATTCAAGCACAAGGAAATGTATGCAAACAGACAATTTCCTAAAAGTTTTGTCTGGCTGAAAACACTAATAGGATGTCTCCAAGGTTTTCTCTTTTTCAATTTGCAACTCAGAAGAACACAGCTTGTCCCGAGTATGAATCTGTTTCATTCTTACCTTTCCTACCGTCACCTTTCTGTGTGACCTTGAGCTGATTAAGCTCAAATTCTGCAGATGTGAAGTTGGGTTTCCCTTTCAACCTCCATTGTAAATGACAAAAAATGAGCTTTGGGCTTTAGTGATCATCAATCACCAGGCATTATTTTATAATTGCGAGTACTGTTTCCTTGAACACACACACGCAGATACTGATGTTTGTACACATCGATAGCATGCTGTGTGTGTTGTTTGGGAAACCTTGTCTTTTGTGGGAACTGTCTCTGCTTCTCACATGGGTTCAGGTGAACTGGTTCTCATTACTGAGGGGTTTTTCATTAGTTGGATGTACTTCAGTTTATTGAGCCAAGCCCCTTTCCTGAGCATTTCAATGCTTTGAAATTGCTATCAAGTCTATAACGAACATCGTTGCTGCCCATTTCTGCATGTCCATGACCCTGATATCTGGATAAATTTGCGGCACTGTCGTTTCTACGGTACGTACTTATAAGGCTTTCAATATTACCAGAGTGCTCTTGAGTATTTTCCATTTTAACCAGCAGTGGGTTAGAGCGATTATGTTTTTGAATCTTTCCAATAATGTTAAACTTAAAAAAACTCAAACAGTCTGAGCTCTTGTTTTTGGTGGCAGTCTTAGCAGTAAGAATACTTGCCAAATGTCGCGTTCACCTTTGCAATGTGCTTTGCGGACCTATTCTGATATCATTTTTATTCCACCACATCCTGTATTTTACCTGTGACCTCCCACTTGATCTTTTAGTTGACTCTGTTGTTGTTTTTAAATTTTAGCAACCAGTTTTATGACTGGTGGGCCAGGTGAGAGTTTCCTATGCCAGGTGTGTGTTGATGATCGAGGTGGGTGGGTGGCCCTGGCCCCACTCTCACCTACCTGCGTGTTGGCAGAACCTGTTTTCCAGGGATTCAGCCAAGGGAACGTGGGCAGGGCTCATGTTCTACCTCACCCTCTATTCTTTCCAAGTTCACTTTTGTGTGTTGAGCAAATTACCAGGGAAGCTTGGCAAACTCACCCAGTCCTCTTCACCCTTAAGTCACATCAAAACTGCCAGGGCACGTGCATCTCAAATGCTCCCAGTTATTCCGAATGTCGTGGTGAGAGGGGTGTGTGCCTGAGTGACTGCCATTTCATCTCCCTCCTGGATTTCTGGTATGTTTGAACCATATAGAAAAGTGCAAAATTCTAGCTCTTTACACCTACTGCTTCCCGGCCCCCAAACCCTTCTTGTCTCTGCCCCAGGTCCTAGTGGGTTTTGTCGGGGCCAGTTGGATCCCACAATGTATGTACAATGTCATTTCTCCTTCTGGCCAAGTATGGGAGGGACGGAGAGAGAGGGCAGAGCACTTGGTGGGACCCAGGTTATTACAGGTTCTCTGATTACTGGTCTCTGAGAAGGGTATTCAGAACTGGGGTGGAGGGAGGAGGCCCCTCCTCTTTATCATCAGGCTCTGGTCCCGTGTGAAATCACCGGGTGTCCCATGCGGCAGACTCAGTGCAGCTCCACGTGTCTTCACATGACTATTCATTTCCCCACAATTTCATGTTTATCTGTTTCATTTTCAGTGTCCCCTGAATGTTCTGTGTCATGAATACTTTTATGAAAAAAGGCGTTTTTTTAAAACTGGAAGTTAATTTGATGTACGTTTAAGGCCTTTACCACGTATGTGGCCTCCTAAGAGCTTGAGAAGTGATTTTAGAAAAAGCAAAGACCTTGGGCCGAGAGTGACCAAAAGAGAGTGTTGGCTTCCCTTGTTTTTCCTGGGCTCTTTTCTGTTTCCGTGTCACGCCCTTCCCCTGAAACTCCTCCCAGGCCCCCTCTTCCATGAGAGAGTGAGAAGTTGGAAAGATTAGTTAGTAAGGATTTCTCATCACAGCAGCTCTGACAGGCGGAGGTTTTGGTGGAGCAGGTGGGCCAGCCTGAAGCAGACTGCCTCGGAGAAGGGAACCGCGTGCTTCCCGCGCCACCTAGAGGCCCCTGCAAACCGCTGCGAGCGCGAGATTGCTGTTTCTCGGTTCATGTCTCCCAAGTAGGCAGAGCCCAGCAAGGATTAAATGGCAAGTTTGGGGAGTTTAGTGGGCCTAGATTTGACTTTTGTCTTTCCTACTTACAAGGCTGGGCCAGCGGGCCAGTGATTCAACCTATTTGGGTGTCAGTTTTCTCTTGTAAACTGGGCAGGTAAGTTGTTGGAGGCCCTGCTAGACCTCCTACCAGGGATGGGCACAGCCCCTGGGTGGTGGTTACCACCTGGCAAATGGCACTTCCCTTCCTTGCTTTCAGGGGGCAGGTATCATGGAAATCATAGGCAGCTTTTTAAGTTTTCCAAACTAGAAGAGGCCGTGCCTCCAAGGAGGCAAGAAGAACAGTTTGTTAAAGGATCTTAAAGCACAATGCCCTGGAGAAACAGGCAGGCCCCACATTCCCCCTCAGCACAGCGTCTAATGGGGCAGATCTTCCTGATGAAACAGTGCTCAAATCTCAACCTGAAGGTGCTAAGTGGCTTATATGTTCAGTCATAACACAGAAAAGCACCTGCTTTTATTTATTTTTATTTTTAAAAACATATTTTTACTGATTTCAGAGAGAGCAGAAGGGAAAGGGAGAGAGAGACAGAAACATCAATGATGAGAGAGTCATTGATTGGTTGCCTCCTGCACGCCCCCCGAGCCCGCAGCCTGGGCATGTGCCCTGACCAGGAATCTAACCGAGATCTCCTGGATCATAGATCAGTGCTCAACCGCCGAACCACACTGGCCGAGCAAAAGCTCTTGCTTTTAAACAGAGCTGCTGAGCCCTGACCAGGTGGCTTTGTTGGTTGGAGCATCATCCTGTTCACAAAAAAGTTGCAGATTTGATTCCTAGTCAGGGCACTTGCCGCCTCGCCTTGTACTTTTATGTTATGGAAACAGCTTCTTTCCTTCAACCTGATGAACCACTGCTAGCTTCAGACTTTTCTTCTGCAGCTTCCTATCTCTAAGGAGTTAGCTAACCCTGAGCAGGGGGGCTGTCCCTCTAAAGTCAGCAAGGACTCAAGATATCAAAGTACCACAAAATACAAAAAACATTTTAGAAATGATTAATATAGATTCACATTCAAATTTTTGGAGGATTTTTCTACCTTCTTGGGTGACAGGAGATAATTATGCATAGTTATACAAGTATAATTATATATAATTCCAAATGCAGTGCATGGTGTCATTCTCATATATTTTTTTCTGAAATACAGTTGGCAGGGAATGACGTGAGATGCATATTTATACCCCGTTTCCTCCATCTCCATCTCTGTCCCTGTCCCATACCACAGAAGGGAGCATCTTAGTCTAAATGCTGCTGGAATTCAACAGTCACTATGAGAGGGCGACATCGGGCCGAAGCTCGGCCCTGGGTTCAGGTTGCCAGGGGTCAATTCCTGACTCTCCCACCCCCAGGCTGAGTGACTTGGGCAAGTTACTTGACATTTTCACGTCTCCGGTTTTTCATCTTCAAAATGGGGCATAAAGGTTCTCTCTACCAATAGGTTTGTTATATGAATTAACTTAGTAGGTACTTGTAAGTCCTACAGAACAGTGCCTGGCATGTAGGAAGCAGACTATGAATTTAGATGCTATTATGATGATGGGACAGTTGCTATTAATATTATTATTGGGACATTGCCCAGTGCCCCGCGACGCTGTGACAGCAGCGATGGGGGACTGGGACAGCTCTAAGTTGTCCCAGGAAGATGATGAGAAAACGGGGTTCGAAGGAACCCTTGAAGATAGAAGAAAACCATGTGCTTGGGGAACTGCAAATCGTTAGTTATAGCCAATGTTGATGGAGAGACAGGTGGAGCTGGCTTTGCGGGTGAGGGGCAGATTACAGAGAAACTTAAATTCAAAGGAGCAGGAAATACATTCAGCCCTCATTGTTCACGGAGCCCGCGCTAGCAAATTCACCCCCTCGCTAAATTTTACTTGTGACCTACAAGTCAGTTGTCATGGCATTTGCAGACATACACGGGAAAATGCATGAAGGGCAGAAAATTTGAGTTGCCGGACAGGCACAGGGGGTCACACAAGGTGACACTCTGTCCTCTTGTCCCAGCTCTCCTGCCATAAACAAGTGTCGTTCTCGCAGCCCAGCCAGGGCCACGTTGTTTGAAATGTTGTGCTTTGTGTTGGTGCTGTTGCTATTTGGTCCCCAAGCCTCCTGCTGAAGTGCTGGCCAGTGTCCCGAGCGCCCCAGTCTGTGCTGTGCCTTATCAAGAAGACGTATGTTGGATGACCTTAGTTCAGATGTGAGTCACAGACCCGTTCCGAAAGGTGTTAATGAGTCAACAGCATGGGTTAAACATGTACTTTATGGAGAAACACGTGGAGAACAGGTCTGTGTTGATCAGTGACAAAAATCTGTGACCAGAGGCTC